CCCTTAGCTTGAATCAAACTAAAACTGTCCATCACGGGAAACGGGAAAACTCCCCCGAGTAGAACAATATTATATATTTTGAATTTCCTTATATATTTCACACGCATGTATACATGCAAATTATTAAATATCGCTAAAACATATCATAGGGCGCTATAAAAATAAACGAAAAAGGTGTTTGTAATGTTCAATAAATCTTGCAATTGTAACAGATTTAAGCTGTTTAAATCTTGGTGTTTTTTATTTAAGACATGAGAAAACTTACATATTTCTACAAATATTTGATCAATTAAAAAAATATTAATATAAAAGTTGCTGGTGGAGGGTATTTAAGATTCGGCTCAACCGAATATAACACTCTAACTTGTTTTAGTTTATATCTGCATTTAATACGCATAAAATATTTTTAACATTTATGCAAAAAGTTTAGGATTATATTCATAAACAAGAAAAATTATATTAACATTCTTATATAAATGTCATAATGTTTTAAAAATCGTTTTCTGTTCATGTTTTCTGACTGAAGCCTAATACTTATCACAATAAAAAACCAAACAAAACATACAATTTTATACTAAAAATTATAAATATTTTAAACCGGTTAACCGAGCCACAAAAAAGGGATAATCAGCTTAACCGAAAATCAATAATTTCGAAAAATCGTTTCACTAAAAACCAAAATATGTATTAAAAACCGATTTTTCGGTTAACCACATATGAATGATCAAAAACTTAAACCTTTATAAGCACATTCTTTTAGATTTACTCAATAAAGTCTTTATAATGTGTAAAACAATCAGCAACAAATTTATATAAATTTTGGAAAGTATAATCTTCATTCCATAAATAACAACACGGAAAAATTGTTAAGTTAATTTTTCGTTACACTAATTTGTTTTGAATAGTGCCATGCATTGCATTATTAAATTAGTGCATATTGTCATTTCAAGACTCGTTTTATGCGATTGTATTCATAATCGAAAAAATAAGCATTCAAACCGTTCTCTGAATCATACGGTAATTTTTTTATTGTACTTGTTTATAAAAACAAAGTGGAGCATGACGTCACGTTACAAACGTAGCAGTACGTTGTTATTGGCTAGAAACATTAAATTTAGTGTGTAGAACTCGGATTAGGTGCAAACACACAAAAGGGGATTTTTTGGTACTTTTTCGCTCTTCAAAAAGTACTTTTTGAATTTTCTATAATATTGAACCTAGGAACATGAAATTAAGTGTGTAGAGCCCGGTTTAGGTGAGAACCTATAAAAAGGGACTTTTTGGAACTTTTTCGTTCTACAAAAAGTACTTTGTGAATTTTTCTATAATATTGTACCTAGAAACATGAAATTAAGTAGCCGCAAATATTTTATTGACAAAAAGACATATCGCTAACTTTTTCTGAAAAATATTTGGATCAGTCCATAATTGACCAAAGCTCTCATATAAGATTCATTTCCTCAAGTCACTTTAGTCTATATATTTCATTAACATACAAGTATATATGAACAAAATCCGATATATTATATTTTGTGTATCGATAAATCATTCTGCGAATTTTTTTTCAGACAGGTCCATTGGTTTATAAAGCAACTACTAATGAAATTATTAAAACTCTGAAACTGGGATTCAAAAAGCTTATATCCAGATAAAATTCGACATGAGTATATTTGTGTATAGATAAATCATTATATTAAAATGTTTGCAACTGGCCCATTAATATAAAATTTTATGAACCTAATCAAAATTAGTTCCACATATCCATAAATGTTAGTACCCTCACAACGGAATCAAAAAATTTGTCAAGATATCTAAAAATTAGATAGTTAAATGGGTTTTAAAAAAAATAGATTACTGGTGGAGAGTATATAAGATTCGGCATAGCCGAATATAGCACTCTAACTTGTTATACATATATCTGCAGACTTCATGCAGCTGTTCTAGTTTACATTTTAACACTGTAAAAGGAGGTATGTTAACTTTAACAGGATTATCGATGGCAATCTCGTCATCAGTATTATCATCTTCTACTGAATGTCAGTAGAAGAATGTTAAATTGTGCCATTAAAATTATAGTTTCTTAAAATTTCGACCAAATCTTATTTTATAAAGCATACATCGGCAAGCGTAAAATTTTCTTTCCACATTAACACCACTTTATTTTGTGTTTTTGCATTCCATGCACTGAAAGACAAGTTTGTAAATTTTTTAGTGTTTTTTGGTGTAGTGACTACACTACTTTACAGTGAACTGTATTAGAAATAACAAAAAAAAAAAAACATTAAAATTTCTGGATTTAGTATGAATAGGATTGGAAAAAAATTTAAAGACGACCAATTATTTTTGAACATCACCCTCGAAAATGCATTTATTTGCAATTTTAGATACAAAGTTAACCTTAATACATACTTCGTGTAAATAAAAGTAAAGAAATAATGGAAGATTTTAATAAATTAAACAAATAATGGTTCGTTAGGCTATAAAAACATCCTCCAAGAATTTCTGCTCTCATATAATTGTCAATTCATTGAAAATATTTGCAGGACAATGTTGCAAATAGGCTTGTATGTCACCAATTCACAGTAGGGGGTATTACATTTGTTTAGGAGTTTATGTCATATTCATTTTTATTAAAATTCCCATTATTTGTTACAATCACTCAGAAAAAATTCTTCAAATAATTTTTTTTTTTGATATTTAATGATAATTTTTTTGAGAGGTTTTAAAATTGCAAAAATAACTTTCGACAAAGAAATTTTCTTTATGTTTAGCATCAGAGATCTTCAAATATTTTTTTTTTTTGGGTAATGATAATATTTCTTGAGAGGTTTTAAAATTAAAATAAATATTAACATTCTTGTTTGCAAAAATAACTTTCGGCAAAAAAGAACTTATCTTTATGTTTAGCATCTTTGTGTATCTCAATCAAAAAACTTCTTAGCTCTCATTCTCTTACTTTGGAAGTTACGTACGTGTGAATGAAGAAAAATCAGAGGGCTCATGCGTATGTATGTACATATGTTTTTTCTAACAAGGTATAAAATATTAATATCGACCGACAAATATCAAAGTTATAGGCATTTTCTTTTCAGAAATACAGCAAAAACGACTAAATAATTCTTATTTTACTCGTTTTTTGTGTAGATATTTTTGTTTACGTCACTTCTGCATTCAAAACAAAAAATGCAAAAAATCATGATTTTTTTAATAAATGACTTGGGAAATTGCCAATAACTTTATTGTTTGTCCTTTGATATACATAAATGTTTTATACTTCGTAGGATAGATAACATTTGGACGAAATGTTAAGAAAAGTTAATTTTAATGATATAATTTTTGAAGAAACCAAAAAGTTCTATTATTTACCCAATTTTACACTTTTCAATCGATTTCCGGCAGGGCTTTTTGCACCAATATGTTTTAGAAACTAATAAACAAAAAAAGACCCATCTGTGCAAAATCGAACGTTTACCCATTTCATCTTCTAAACGTTCGAGTTTCCAAAAATTCCTTCCTAATGGTTCTATAGCAGTAGTAATAATTCATGAATAAAATGTATTTTTCCATAATAATTGAAAATATGTATATAACGAAAACTTTATTGCATTTGGTGCGTGAAAATTTTAAACAACCTCCAAAAAATAATACAGTGGTTTTTCATATTTTTTAATGTTCTATTTGACTATGCTATGCCAATTCTAATATACATATAGTCATCTAAAACACAAACGGCCCTATCTAACATTTTTAAAATTTTGCAGAAGAAGCAAAAAACTATTTAAATTGAAAAGTTTGTTTCTATCAGCGCGATTTATTTTTATAAAATAAACAAATTGTTTAATAGTGAAACCTATTATTTGTTATGATAGTTGACAATGGCATACTTAAAAATGGATAAATTGGACTTTTCCTTTAATATTTAAATGTTTTGTAGATAGGGCCTTTTGTCTTTTGTCAATAAAATCGCAAATTTTGGTCGGAGGAGTCTAATTTCTTTTGTTGACATTTGTTTTAATGAAACACATTAGAATCAGCAATAAAATAGATTTTGAATTTTTGGTTAGCTAGGGCCGTTTGCGTTTCTGGTGACGATATGTATATTAGAACACATGTTCATATGTGTATAAAATTTATTTATGCCGAATTTAGTTTTTATAAGTAAATCATGGACGTTTAAGTTATTTTGCTGAAGAGGGATTCATTATGGGGTCAAATACTACGAAAATCGGTAGTATCAATTAGGTTCATGTAAGTTTTTTTTGTCTCTGGTACAATAGATTTTGTTAAAATTTCTTCAAAAAAAAAAAAAAAAAAAAAAAAAACATAAAGAGCTACAATTTACATTCCTAATATATATATATATATATACATATGTATATATTGTAAGGAATGCTTAAAGAAATATATTTTTTTAATATTTTATAATTTTACCTTTTTATAGAAAAAGTTTTTAATAAAAAATGTTGATACTGAATTTATAAAAAAATAATAACAATGTGTAATCATTTTTCGATTATATTTTAAATTATATGTTTTTTTAGTTTAGACAGTTTTCCCGGGAAAACGTCAAAATAATACTCAAATCTCAAATAAATAATAAATTAAAATCCTATAAGTGTCATATTGCAAATTAACTTGGAATTTGATCAATCCCGAATAATTTCATCTGTAAGTGGATTAAACTTTTAAAGGAATTAATTAAATAATATCTTATTTTGATTAAAATTTTTACAGATTCTATAGTTTTACAAGAAAACCAAAATAAATAAAAAATACTGCATTTCTATGAATATGTATGTATACGTATATATGTATATATGTATAAAAATTAATATTATTAACAAATTTTGCATAAATTCCAAAATAATGGACTAACAAATCGATAAAGATGTTTCGTCTAGATTCCTATAGTACTATTTGTTAGAATGTCTATACTTTTTTATTTATTTATTTTGTATTTTTTGTTTATTTTTGTTTGTTTTTTTTATAACTTCCCACAGAATCCTGTACAAAAAGCTAAATTAAGTTTCATCTCGCTGTCTCACCCAAATTTATCCGACGTATCTTTAATACAACATCAAAAAGAACAACAATATTGTATGGACGGCATTCACCTGATACCATCCCAAAACCAAACCGATAGTGTAGAACCCGTTATAAAAAAAGACCAATTCAGTAGTAATGGAATTGAGCATGCCAATGAAGATCAACTACAATTAAATTCTTCCTGCACTGCTTTAAAATTTAATGCAGCAAAATCTTCTAGTCCTCCTCTTATAACTCCTTGTCATAATCCAAAGAAGTAAGAATTTTTATCTTATGGTTTAAAATTTTGTTATATTATATTTTTATAATGTTTCTAAATCAATTCGATAGGTACAATTTAAATATTGCTGGTATAGAAAACTATGCTCAAATACAGGCCTCAATACCGCAATGCTGGTCCGAACCGGCCATGGGTAATGCTTTGCGTAGAGACTTAGAACCACCCATAGTCCAACAAGCAGCATTTGATAATATTGTAAGCAATGTATTTATAATTTTCTTTTAATAATATTGGATTAACAAAAAGTATGTATATAATAGATATACATAAAAACAATTGAAACGGCTAAGTTCTTTTATTTTGCAGACCTTAATTACTCATGAAATTCTGATATTTTTTGCATTCCTTGGAATTGGGAAAATACAGAATTTTAATAATTAAAATTTATCCGATGTATCTTTAATACAACATCAAAAAGAACAACAATATTGTATTAATTTTATGAAAAATTTATCTAGAGTTGTCATAAATATGAAAAAAAAAGAAATATATATATATATATATATATATATATATATATATATATATAGATATATATATATAGATATATATATATATATATATATATATATATAGATATATATATAGTATATATCTATATATATATATATATATATATATATATATATATATATATATATATATATATATATCTATATATATATATATATATATATATATATATATGTATATATATAGTCATTTAAATCATTAGCGCCTATTTTACCTACAAACATATGTATAACATCGTTATTATCATATTTAAGGCATATTTCGAGCATTCAAGACTCTTACTTGTTTTAACGTAATATTATTTAATGTAAATAATTTAAATTATTATATTAAAATAAGCACAATTTCATAAGCTTATATAACCCGGGAAAATAAAATTCCGTTGCACTATGAACCATTTTTGAACTGGCGGGCAAACATATTTTTTATATGGTCACCGATTTTAAAGTTATGTTACTTATTTTAAAGTAAACACTAGTAAAACTCGAAAGACAAAAAATTACAACTGTATATGAACTTGATCACAGTGAACAGAGTGAGCAAACTCGAACTATCGCAGCATTTTTATGAATTTTAAATTTTCTTAGCAAATATTTAATTTTTGCATTCCTTGGAATTGGGAAAATACAGAATTTTAATAATTAAAGTTTATCCGATGTATCTTTAATACAACATCAAAAAGAACAACAATATTGTATTAATTTTTATGAAAAATTTATCTAGAGTTGTCATAAATAGAAAAAAAAGAAATATATATATATATATATATATATATATATATATATATATATATATATATATATATATATATATATATATATATATATATATTTATATATATATGTATATATATAGTCATTTAAATCATTAGCGCCTATTTTACCTACAAACATATGTATAACATCGTTATTATCATATTTAAGGCATATTTCGAGCATTCAGATAATATTTTAATATTTTATGTTTTTTTTTTTAATTTCATACATTTAAATTTTATTATTTTTTAATTTTTTATAATTTAATTTAGTATATAAAACTAAATTTAAAGGAAAATATTAATATTATTAAGCGGAGTTAGTTTTTACAGAATTTCATTTTTGCCACGTAGTAAAATTGTAAAATATTTTTATTTTAGATACATTTTTTTGTGATATATGTATATGAATTTTTACCTTATAATTAGAATAGAAAATAACGGATATACATATGAGTAAATTTCCGAAAGATATCTGTGGAAATAGTCAGTGCATCTCGCAATTTTTTGCGGTTTTGTAAAAACAAAAAGCAACTTCTTTTTACATCCTTACCCTTCGTGAGAAGGGTATGAACCCGGAGAGCTTTACGTGAACACCTGCCTTTTTGGCCTTATTCCATGTTTTCATTCACAAGAGACTTAGTAGTCTGGTATGAAAAGAGTTAACCCTGAACATACCTTGACATGTATACCTCTATATATATATATATATACCCCGCATACCTCTGATTCATCCTGTATTTTATTCATTTAACATTAGGTATATTGAGTAAAATGGATAAAAGAACGCTTTTAAAAATGCACTAATTTTATAAAAGAGTAAAGTTTGGAGTGCTGAATTGCCAATGCTGCCTTTTTTAATAAAAACGACCCGTGTGATTAAAAAAGGACATTTCGAAGGATATTGTGTGATTTTGAAAATTCTATTTGCTATTCTTCCATTTTGTTACTCAAATATTTACATTACATGGATGTGGAAGCTTTTCGTACAAGAGTTGAGGATTCTAGTTCCTATATTTTCCCAGATGGGAGTTATTATGTCCCTATTGCTAGTCCGGTTATTAATTGTTATTAATTATTATTAATTGTTCACATAGATTTCAATGTTGCTCATGCAGGATTATAGCTCTAGTGGTTTTCAAATATACGAATTATTGTATTTAATTAATATGGGAGAGATCACGCCCACATAATCCACCTATTAATTAGACAAATGCTTAAATGGATGTCAAAATTGTCTGTGCAAAAGGTGAGCATTCTTATTTCAAGAAAATTGATTTAGCCGTTTAAATCCGATGGATTTAAATGTTTAATAAAAATTTTAATTACTTTCCGAATGGGTCCATTTTTGGTTATATATTCTTAGTAAGTCTATTTGATATTAAATATGAACTTTTTCGATATGGTTTCCCATTAATACCCTACAAATAATAACTGACCGCCGAGGCACGGGTCTAACCGTCCGGACGTTCCTTAAAATATTATGATGATGACACGAGAAAATGCAAGAAAATAACAACGTACAGATTGTGTTCTCTTGTTATCGATTTGAAACAATAACAATGCATATGCTTTGTTGCATATGTATTTTTTTATTTCTTGTCACAACCAGAGACTCTTACTTGTTTTAACGTAATATTATTTAATGTAAATAATTTAAATTATTATATTAAAATAAGCACAATTTCATAAGCTTATATAACCCGGGAAAATAAAATTCCGTTGCACTATGAACCATTTTTGAACTGGCGGGCAAACATATTTTTTATATGGTCACCGATTTTAAAGTTATGTTACTTATTTTAAAGTAAACACTAGTAAAACTCGAAAGACAAAAAATTACAACTGTATATGAACTTGATCACAGTGAACAGAGTGAGCAAACTCGAACTATCGCAGCATTTTTATGAATTTTAAATTTTCTTAGCAAATATTTAATTTTTAAATGATTATAGCTTTTTCGTTTTAAAAGATTTTAAAGTGAAATAAATTTTGTAAAATATTGTCTTCTAAACTATCACTATTAGAAAAAATAAGCCTTTATGTATTTTAGAGCATTTAAAGGTCAAAATTTCCCAAAAATGTTTTTGAGGGGACCAATTTTCGTAAAATTTTCACAGTATCTTCCTATAGTCTGAACTAAAAGCAACATTTCGTTTTGCAACTTTAAATAAGCGAGGTGCCACATACAGAATGCGCTTTTAAATTCGTATATATAACAAACTTCAATAACAAGGGTCCAAAAATTTTGCACTGATTACTTTGACATGTATATAAGCATTAGCGGCCGTGGAATCTCCCATATTAGTCAAATATTAAAATTCGTATATCTAGGAAATTATAACATCTAGATTTCTTAAATTTTGCCCGGCCAACCTTGACGTCCGTATAAACATTTTGGGAAAATATATTCAGATTAGCATTAGCGGGAGTGTCATCTCCGATATAATTCGAATACTCAAATGTTGAAGTTATGTTTTTAATAATTGTCTTATACTTGTTTAAACAAAACTTATGTATCAAATAGTATTTTGTATTATTATATTTTGTAAATCAAATATTTTTCACTTCAATAAAAACTCTGCTTACAATAGGTTTTGGGCCCAGAAGTCATAGAAATTTAAATTAGAAAATTAAAAAGAATTTTTCATGAAAAATAGTTAGTATAATTAGAAAGATTATTCAAGATTTAAATTATTCAAGACTCAAGATTACTCAAAGTTATTCAAGAGACGAGATAACTCAAGATTCAAGACATGGAATTCTGCGACTGGCCTGTATAGAAAAGGAAGGTTAGAGACCTTTTTGAATTATATAAGGGTGCTCTGGCTGTAATTGAGAATAAGCTAATCGAGTTATACAGAAAAGCTAATTGCTATGCAAAAGGCATCATCAAAAGCAATTAGTGATGAAATCTATCAAAAAATAATGAACAAGGAATGTGCTTTTGAAATGTGGGAAGCTTTGAAAAAGCAATACGAAGCAACATCGAAAGACCAATAAAGAAGACGTTTCAACACATATTTCAAAATTGAAGAATTTGTTTAATGAAATAAATAAGATTGAAAAATGAACATGCATTACCGGATTTATTGTGTAATGCATGTTCATTTTTCATTTTTATATGTTTCACCCAGTTCATTTGAGATGTTCAAATCAAGTTGGATGATGCTTACCGGAGATGAAGATAAGTCACTGGAAATCCTGTTCCAATAACAACAAATGAAGTAAACATAGCTGTTGATAAAAAAAGTCAGGGACACATTATTAAAGTACTTCTTAGTGATAATGGTGGAAAGTTTATTAGTAATGATATGAAAAAGATATTCAAAGCTAATGGTATTATACATGAATTAACTGCTCTATATACCCCTCGACAGAATGGAGAGATGGCGCGAACTTTCATATATTCAAACAGTGATATTAAGTTTCCTAATACTTTACGGGCTGAATTTGTCAAGTCAGCGGTTTACATTCTTTATCGTACAAGAAAAAGTTTCGTCAAAGATGTAAGTCTTTTTGAACTTTGGCATGGAAAAAACCTAAAGTCATCTTAGAATTATCGGATCATGTTTCATACATGTACCAAGTCAAAAGCGAAAGAAACTGGATCAGAAATCAATTAAAGGAGTGTATATTAATGATAAAAACAGTCTTGAATTGTCGAGAGATGTTAAATTCTTGGAATCCGTTACTAATTGTAGTAAATATGACAATGATAGTGAAAATAAAACCGAAAAATAAAAATAAAATAAAAAAAGACAATGAAGATGAGTTTTACAAAAGTGAAAGTGATTGTGAAGATTTTGAAGGTTTTGAGAATGCGCAGCAATATGCCGAAGCGCAAAGTGAACCAACTGAAGATGAAACATTAAGTATGGATAGTAGTTCTGATTATGCGGTGCAAGATACCGAACCACGTAACAAT